CAACAAAAGGAAGACAGAGACAAAGGGAAAGAACACACATAATTCCACCCCTGAAGTAAAAACACACAAATAACACCAAAACCAAGAATTCCCAGTCCAAGAATTCAAAAACTAGCACAAGATTGACACCCTCTTCACCATAATGCCAAGGCCTATCAATTTTCATGGAAGAAAGTGAAGCATCATTGCCACCCAATTATAACTATAGTGAGCGTCAATACAAATTATGGAAATAAATTATTTCTCTTTAATGGCTTAGTAATTCCTAAGGCTAATTACTACTAGTTGCATGGTGCTTAATCACATGGTATAAAAACACAGAAAAAATTAAAATAAAGAAATCGCAAATCACCAGAAGATCAACGCCTTCATCACCATAATGCCAAGACCCATCAGCTTTAATAACCACAAAGGAAAGATGAACAGTATCACCTTCATATTGAACATCATGAGACAAACATTCTTCTCTATCAATCACAAATCTGATCCCAAAAGCCCCTTTCATGCAAATTGACAAAACCATCATCACTAGTATCACATTTCTCAATGACCCAATTCCCATCTGCCCATTAATCAAAAGATGATGAATAAGAACATGAAAATAAGTGATTGATGTTAAATAGATCGGATTGGATTACCTTTAGATTGAAATAGCGAGATTCCATGGCCCTATAGAGAGATAAGAGTGTGTGAGAGAATCAATTGAAACTGTTACAGTGATTGGGATATATTAGAACTCTTTTCAGTTGTTACGTAGATACGATGGAAAGTTAAATTATTATTGTTAGTATTTGATTAGTTTAAGGTAAAGGTTAATATGCTTAGACTTCATTTTACAGGAAAATTATGCCTTTTATTCGGCATGGTCACGAGTCATTAACTTTTAAGCGTGTAACATGTTTGAATATGTGAACATAGATCCTCACATGATCGAAATCATTGACGTAGATATTAAAATCACACCCCGCGTGGCTTAAGGTAGATGAGGAAACTGTCAAACTACTCAACTTTTCTCTTCAAATCAACTAAAAATTGCATATGATTTTGACATCAACGCCGATAACTTTCTTCATTGGATGATAGAGATAAACATACTTAAATAAATTGAGTACTTAAAATCTTACTTTTTATAGTTGAATCCGATATCACATCATATGAAAGATAGAGGAGCATAATTTTCATTTTTTCATACAAAACACTCGTTACCTTTTTTAAAAAATTTGTAGAAATCAGAGGGGTAATTTGCACAAATGTCCCTATCATTATTGCCACCACAATTTTTATTTGATACATTATATTTTAATTACTGTTAAACTCAATATTTTTTCATCAAAATCTCATTTTCAACCTTCCATTAATTAGTATGTCTCGTCTTTGATGAAAATTTACATCAAAATATTTTGTTTTCATACTTTGAAATGAGGAAAAAATATTTTTTTCGCACTTTTATTTATTTATTTATTTTAAAATATGGTGGAAAAATAAATTGTTTTATGCCATTTCAATGGATTTTTAGACATAAAATTGTTATTAAATACAAAATATGTTTATTAATGAAAAGTTTAACCATAAGAATGACTTGAAAAATCGTTAGGATATAAGTGCTATATTGAGAAAAAATTAAAAATCTTAAGTAAAATTAGAATGTGGTTTAAAAAATAAAAATTGTGGTGATTACCCTTCAGATAATCATCATCGTTATTAAAGGTATTGAGGTTGATTAGAATAAAGCAAGTGCCCAACTCATTGATATTTAGCCCATCTTAATAGTTACTTTGATCCTGAAAAGTTACTCTTTCTGTTGGAAATTTATGCCATCGGGGAAAACGGAGATGAAAATTAAGAAATAGAAATTCAAGAAGATGGAAATTAACAAGGAAAACATACCAATATGGAAGGCTCAAACACGAAAATGATTCGTTGTCCTCAAACGATATTTGCCCCTTCTCGTATACAAATTTGGTGTTTAAAAGGTTTTATGGCAAATAGTTCGTAGGATTGATCAAGCCTTGTTGTAGAAAATCACAAAAGCACAAATGGTTTTTCCACCCGAATCTTGAAGAACACTTGAAGAACATGAATATGAAGGGAAGAAAGTTTAATTCTTTCATGTGGATTTGTTTATATGTTTTTCACATACTTGTAATTATTTTTCAATGTCCATTAATCACTTATTTATAGACATGAAACATTGCCACACGAAAATGTGCCAAAATGAAATGAAAAGCCGCCAAAATTCAAACCAAAAAATTGTCCAACGGTCCCTAATTTACAACCATGCGACTGCATGGTTTTAACCCATGTCCGAGGCCATGTGGCCTCAGTACATCACCGTGCGACCGCATGGATATTTGCCCATGCGGTCGCATGGGCCAAATTTTGGCCCTGTTCAGTTTTCAATTCCGTTTTCATTTTGGTCCGTTTTCATTTCGATTTCAATTCCGTTTTCATTCTATACACCGTTTATTGATTGTGAACAATATTTTCCATCAATCCCCCACTTGTTCAAAATTCAATAAACTCTCATATTCAAAGTAAACAATACTCATGCATAAGGATTAGATATCTTTCGATTTGAATCTAATCATAGTGTAATTCAAACAAAGTAAAGTCGAAATCAAAGGTAGCGTGAAACTTTGAACCATTTGTTCCATGTGATAATACCGGTAAGAATACACACACGAGCATTACGTGTTCTCAAGTTCCTCAACTCGCTTAGCGCTAATATGGCCTTGCGCTCATCCTATTCAACAAACTTTTAAGAGAGAAACTCCAACTCTCTATTGAGACGGCACCACCTCGAAGTTTGTTTAGGTAAAGTTCTTCCAGTACCTTTGTTACTTTTAGAGGTACTTGTATTTTAGTACTAAACTTCATTAAGAGCTTCAATGCTCAACCCTCATTTCAATAACAACCAGCATTATTTTACTTAGGATAGGGTTATTGCGGATTATTATAATGCTGAAACCATCCCACATATCGAATGACTTGTTTGTTACCCTTTGAATCCATGGATTACCCCTTTGAGTAAGCGATGTGTAGGGTTTCCGTCATTGGTGGACCTTTATAGTTTAGGAGTTTCAACCCCATCCTACTCGAAGTATATGCCACTAAAGTTTTATTTAGTGGTCTAGTTAAAGGATTCGCTAAATTCTCTTTCAAAATTATTCCACCTTTGATAATTTCCTTGTGACGTTACCTTTAAGACTTATATGTCTTTACTTTTCATTTCATGTGACTTAGTATCTTATCAAAGTATAGCTAGCCAACGATCGATTCATTTGATAGATACAATTTGTCACCACCAAGAAATCCTTTTGTGAAGCCATATGCTTCTCACTTGCTTTATTTAAAGTTTTATTTATATCCAAACATGGTTTGAACATTTTTATCAAATCATTACACTTCTCAATCAATTTTATTGTGGATCTCACACTTGGGTATTCATATTTCATTATTGAAATATTACAGTGATCTTCAACTTATGAATACTCTTAAATATTCACATTGGTTTTGAAAGCGCCGTGATTGGCTTTCACCCAAATTATCCACTTAAACTTAATGATAATGTATCTCATCCTTATAATTATAATCATAAGGACTTTTCTACCTTTTCTTCCTTCATAGATATCTTTCTATGATTAATATGTAAATGATATGGTAACTTTTAAATTAAGTTACCCCCACAATTCCTCACTTATGAATTTATATGCAATCATGTAATATTGCATTCATAAATATTGAACTTCTCATATAGGTTCACAAGCATTTAAAGTTAACCTCCACATTTCGAGTTATACTCGAACTTAGAGTTCCTCATTATGTCAACCCCCACATTTGGGATTGTAATTGAAAGGATTGTAATTGAACTTAAATTTCATCAACTCTTTCACAATTCGATTCATTTATCATCTATTTTAAGTATTTTTAGATAGTGGTCGTTAAGTCACAACTTACTTCAAATCGACCATCTTAATTGTGATCACACAATTTTACCAAGGTTATCTCATAGACCAACAATGCTTTTCCAAGTTTAAACCAAATCAATTGGTTCCATAATTGAAGTCACATTCAATGAATAAAGAAGAATAATTTTTCTTAATTCACAAGAATTGCAACTTCTCCAATCTTTTTACAACTTATCACTTTCACAAGATAGCATTATGACATATTAGATAATAAGATACATGTTTACCTTATTCACATTTGGACAAAATCACATTTTGTCATATTCTTATGCAAATATAATCTTACATAAGATCATTTTTACTACCATTTTCAAAGATATCAAGCATCACCGCCAACTATAGACATAATTTTGTGTTCTATAAAATGATTCCATGTCTCAGTAATTGCGCAAACAATTTCTAATAGAACATATCACAATTTGTCATAATTCAAGCAAATGCACTTGTACTTTAATCAAATTCTCTTTAATTTGATCATACAAATTTGACCAATGTCAACACATAGACCAAAGAATGTATGCAACTTATCAAACTAGTGACACTTCACAAGATAGTAACATTTGTTTCCAATGTGTGTTATTTTATTTTAAACAATAAGGCACCTATTCAAAAAGAATAGCAATATTCCTTCAATGAAAGTTCATGTACTTTCAACAAAATGATCGCATCCTTTCAAACATTTATACATTTCACATACAATTTTAGAATATTGGTAGTTATGGAAACTTCAAAATGAATAGACACAATCTTTCATTTTTAATTTAAACACTAATTCTCACACCAATTCAAATTACACATAAACAGGTGTAAGCATCGCACTCTTTCATATATAAGCATCGCACTCTTTCATATATAATTGTTCATAAATGAATCATTTCATTCAGAAAAATTACATATAATGATGATTCATGCATTTAATAATTTATTCACATCTTTTGATAAACCATGCATTCAGGAAATGAAATTCAGAAATCTATATAACCTTTTGCATATGCTGAAACTTCATTTTCTTTCATTTTGTTTACAAACATGATGGTTCAGCTAATGATGGTTCATAATTGAGAAATCTTATAAATCCAAAAGCATATGCATCCATCAAGTTGGTTTCTCATTTAAATAAATTTCATTCAAACAGATTTCTCATAAAGTGAAATCATGCATGTAAAACAGAATCTAACATGCACAAATTCAATTTTACTAACGTAAAATCAAACAAAAATTTGAATTACTGAATTTAGATTTGAGAAGGCTCAATTACCGAATTCTAAATACACAAATCTGGATTTATACTTTTTCTACAAGTCAAACCATCTCTTGAAGTTAGTGACATCAACAAAGTCTCGATCCATCTTGATTGTTGCCATAGACATTTCATTCTCCATCACAAAAAAAATATCGTTTGAGATTGTTGGAAATTTATGCCATCGGGGAAAATGGAGATGAAAATTAAGAAATAGAAATTCAAGAAGATGGAAATTAACAAGGAAAACAAACCAATATGGAAGGCTCAAACACGAAAATGATTCGTTGTCCTCAAACGATATTTGCCCCTTCTCGTATACAAATTTGGTGCTTAAAAGGTTTTATGGCAAATAGTTCGTAGAATTGATCAAGCCTTGTTGTAGAAAATCACAAAAGCACAAATGATTTTTCCACCCGAATCTTGAAGAACACTTGAAGAACATGAATATGGAGGGAAGAAAGTTTAATTCTTTCATGTGGATTTGTTTATATGTTTTTCACATACTTGTAA